GCAGTATCTGCAGTATGTGTAGTACTGTCTGTATTATCTTTAGTAGCGGGTGGAGTATGTGTAGTACTGCATGTAGTACTGTCCACAGTATGTGTAGTGCTGTCTGCAGTATGAGTAGTACTGTATGCAGTATGTGTAGTACTGTGTGTAGTACTGTCTACAGCATGTGTAGCACTGTATGCAGTATGAGTAGTACTGAGTGAAGTACTGTCTACAGTATGTGTTTTATGTTTTGGTAGCTGACTAATTATTGCATGCGACTTCCCTCCGTTGGATCTTCCAGCATTAATAACTAAAGTGGCCTCTGATGCTGCACCTATTTCACGTATTAAATAGTAAAAACAAGCTCATGGATCCAGATATTCCATTTGACACTATAAAATACTTATTAAAAAGGCACCAAAACCTTGTGTCAGCCCACAGCAGACGTGACCAGAGCTGAGTTTCAGCAGAAACGTTGTGAAGTCGTGTTTACCGTAACGCTCTGTACGTTCTGGAACTTGACGTAGCGCAGAGGAATCAAACCGTCGTCCTTGTAGTCCTCCTCCGACAGCTCCAGAGTCTGGGTGGCCTCGCTTCGCTCTGCGTCGTCGAAGCCCATCGACCGGGGGAGGTTGATGAACACCTTCACCACCTTCGGGGCTTGAGCTGACGAACGGAAGGACGAGTTAGGAGAAAACCGGCGACTTCTTTTTTTTTAAAAACTGCGCCGTGTTCAGAATGAAAACTCACGGAAGTCTGAGGACTGTAGCTTCATAGAGAAGAGCTTCACCGGCTGGTTGAAGGCGATTGTGATCAATAACTGGAAGAAAACAAAGGACAGCAAATCAGGCAAGTTACATTAAACTGAGAATGACAATAAGATAAAATGTGGCTAAAACTGTTAGCATAATTTCTTTCGGAGTTTAAATGTGATTTGTAACTTTTGTTTGGCATTTGTTGCTTCTTTTTTTTTCTTCTTCTCATAACTTAGGTTGGAAACTAAAGAGTTCTGGATATTTCTTAATAAATCTGCAACCCCAGGACAGATTTCACCCACAAAATTAAAGAAAATATTAGGTCCTGGTGTCTTTTTGCTCCAAATTATTTAAAAAATCCTCAATCTTCTCTTAAATTTGGATAAAATAAAGTTGGATTTCTCTTGTAACAAGAGAAAAAACCCTCGATACTAACTGGAAAAACAGCTTTCTACCAGAAATGCATCATTAATTTGAAAATACAAACTTTATCCAAATGTTAAAAGACACATGAGGCAAAGAAAATCTACATTTATGGATTTAACTGTTCAACACTGGGTGCAAACGTTCCTAAATTCTGCCCATTTTTTTGGCACAAATAAATACGTTGAACGCTGAGTCGCACCTGTTCGTCGCAGTCGGACTCCAGGTAGGACGAGTCTTTGATTAAACAGTTGTCGAATCCACAGTCGTCGCTCTCGTTGAGGCACTCGCAGCCGGCTTTGTTGACAAAAGGCATGAGGTCCATCTGGAAAGCAGCGCAGACGACATGAACTCAACTCAAACCGTGGATTTAATGTGTCAGAGTTCAGCTGCTAATACCAACGACAGCAGACGTTTGTGTTGTTTACACTCAGACTGAGCTGCGCTTCGTGTCTCCAACAGGAAGTGTTATTTACTGAGTAATAAAGAGTGACAGTGAACTACACACGCAGCTAAACAGCACTGGAGATGCATTCAGGGAA